GTTCATAATCCTCATTAAACCACCGGAAACTTGTTGTCTTCTTCACTGTGTTATCAGTATAAGCAGCATCTCACACTTGAGGAACTACCTATGCATTTTCATATCTTTCACCAACAACATAAATATCTCAGTCCTCCGATATATTCCACAGATTATGTAGCTCAATAACAAATAACATGAACCGATCATCATGTCCAAACTTTAAAGATGCAAAAAGTGATTGTAATCATTATTTTATCGACTACATTGTCTCAACGTGAGTAGATAAGTTGACTTACTGAACCATGACTCATCATTCTACTTGAAGTATTTACTGCATCACCAAATAAACAATATCGTGGTGTTTTATAACCGACTACACCAGCAACAATTGGACCAGTATGACATCCAATGTAAAGATGTAAGTTTTCATTTGTATAAACAGTTTTATTCTTATTATTAGCTGGGATATTTCCGATTGACTCTGGCCAGTAGAGACTGAGTAGAGTTACTTCTATGATTTCTAATGCTGTGTCGACTATATGTGCAGCATGTAATGGGGTCCTGTATGGTGCTCCAGAAACCAACATATAACTGTCATTGACTGTTTCAACCTTTCCAAATATAAATATAAAGTGGAAATTATTTGTTAACAGAAATCAAACTTGTAGTCGGATTTTCATCTCAAAATATAATTCAAATCAAACAGAAACTACATGATTGTTTTTCTTGTCTTTGGATACAACAACATCAAATTTTGGAGTGGGTTCTTGTTGACTCATCAATAAAAGTACTAATTTCGAATTACGAGACTAATAAGATGAAATGATTGTTAGTGTTTACAGGTCACGGTGATATAGAAATACAGAAGAACCGGACTATATGGTAGTTATTACTGATTCCTTAAGTGGTATATTCAGTAAACAAGTAGAAATATCAGTGTGCTTATTCGTCAGGTGATAAACTTTAAACTCAGGATGTGAAAGTGAGATAGTATTTAGCATGTTAGAATGAGTGAAATTAGTTGGATGAAAACATTGGCCCAAGTGCGAGCTGTGCGAATAGATGTATCTTTCTCACCAAACCTCGCTTATTATGAGAAGTAACAATCTGACAATATTGGGTTAAGTGTAAAAAACATAGTAGGAGCAAACGACAGCCCCTTTACCGCATCTTATCAAAGATAAGATCAAGTGTTTTGAAAAGTACTGAGCTAAGCTCTACTTATAAATCTTGTCAGCAAACCTTCACCAATTAAATGTTGCTGTACATGTATTTGTTAGACGGTTGATTTGAAATCTACAGTTGTTTCAATAAAATGAAAATGACTAGATTTTATTGGAGAATTCCGCTGATAGTTTTCCTCATGATATTCAGTCTTTATGATGAGATAAAAATTCAGACATACATCTATTATAGGTATACCGAGCTGACTTCGATGTTTAGTAAACTACACAGTGTTTTATTTTGTGAAAATAAACTATTTGGTTTGATGTTCAATTTCTAACTCACATACTGTCTTATGAACATGTTTTCAATGATCGGCTTGTCTACCAATCCATTTAGTTACCAGTAAGTACAGTAGTGTTGTTACCAGCATATCACATTACTGTCTCTCAGGTTTGATCAGAAGTAAACATGAGATAGATGTTGGTCAAGTCATCTCCTAGGTAGGTAGGCAGGCATCAGAGTTATTTTGAAGTTACATTGACTGTGTCTTACATTATAGAAGTAAAGTAATATTACAGACCTGTTGTTGTTTGACTGTTTTATCTTCACAGTAGTAATCCACTCGGAGAGACTATCAGACTGACATTATCCACTCTAAAATGTTGATCTGAATAGAATGGTGGATCATATTCCCTACTGAAAACATATCATCGTCCGAAGTGGTTGGGTTTACTGGTTTTCTATACATGTCGGTCTTCCGGTTGAATTTGTGAATCTGATCAAAGCTCTTAAGTCCGTTAAATGTGTTGGTAAATTCTAGTCATATATGATGATCTGGCTGGTGTTTTGAAGCAATGAATGAGCGCATCTGGAGATAACCTCAGGTATTCTGTTTGAACCAGCTTCATTTATGAAGAGAAAGTTTGTGCTTAAACGGCTATTGTTTATTTGTTTCTGTCAGCTACACTGCATTTGTGGTTTCAGTTTGGATACATGCTGAAGTTCTAGATCAACATACTCCTCAAAAGCCTTCTTATTTGACAGTAATGAGTTGAGTGCACCGAAAACACTCAGTGTATTCCAATACACTCACTAGATCTTGTTTTGCATTCTCTACCTAGTTTAACAAATTGTATAATACTAAATCCACACTATACGTCAACTCTGTTACAAATGTCCTTTCAATAGTTTACAACCTTCTTTCAAACTCTGTATAAGCTTCGGAACTAATATCAGTTTAAGTATTCAAAAGTTGGTTTTAACTGTGAAGTATTCGATTACAATGGAGAAACATATACATCAGACATTTGATCTGTGATGAACCAATGTTGATTATTTTTGATGAATACGGTTTGAGTAATGCATGGATTATATTACTAAAAACATCTAGATACTTGAATAGTATGGTTGGATAAAAATATATTTACCTTGTAGACTTTATGATTTTCAGTCAAAGCGTCGTAGAGAGAATACATTCTGTTCAACAACTCTATCACTTGTTCAACACCTATGTACATACATTTTGCAGCGAAGTTCACCACTTTCGTAAAACATATTGTCACTTCATCAAATGTCTAAGAGGGAATGAGAGATTGGTTTGATGATAAAAATTCATTAGATTTTGTCAGTATATGAACATAGATACTAGTCGATAAGCAAATGCGTTAGTTAGTACAAGCTGGGAAACAAACATGCCACCATTGTCGACGTTAGAATGGAATGTTCAGACGTGAGATGTTTGGATGTTTTGAAGAATAATTTTACTACATAGATGACATTTCTAATGGGAGAATGCTTCAATCTAGAACTGTTCTAGTGTGGACATTCTAGTCAAAATCCCGACTGGGACTTCTGAATTGGTGAGAATTATAGCTGTCGTCGTTGTTATCATTATCGAGGTCAGGCTCGAACATTTTAGAGAAATTGAGCATTGGGTAGAATGTTATAAGTAATTGTGATATATCCATCAGTAGAAAGTGAAATTTCTGACGTTTGGTGCAAGCAAATTTCTCAGAGTAAATTTACATATGACCGAATAAATGACCGGCCGTCGTTTAAAGTGAGCTAATTTTTCACAACAGACACTGTTGGTAGTGTATAAACAAAGTATCAACTTGAAGAAGTGTTTCCATGGGTGTCCTAAAATTGATATAATTTACTGACATATATACATACATAATCGGTGTTAATCAGTCAGATAATTACTTGACATGTTTTTACATTGGAAATATCAAATGCATACAGGAAATTCATTTCCAATACACACAACAGTATCTTGAGTTCGATGTTGAGATTTCTATCAAATATCTGCATACTTATCAACCAGTGATTAGAAGTACAATAAGTCTAAGAAAGTACCTATCTAAAATCGAGAGAATAGGATCACATGTCGGAGGTTACACGTGCACTCATGAATTTGCAACGAGGAAGTTTCCTCGGCATATCATTGAGTATCATCTATTTCCCAAAATCAATGAAATGTGACTAATGTTGTAAAAATAAGGCGATGTTTAGGCATAAATGTTGAATATCAGAAATAGACTGTTTAAGTATTTCGTTACATGAAGTATTTGATTCCAACCAAAGTGTTCATGTCTGAACATCATCAATATAACCGTTTCTATAGTATGGATAGCTTTGGAAAAATATAATTACAAGCTAAAATGATGTTAACGAACCTGAATGGTATCGATTGCTGGAGTGCCGTTTCGAATTTTCCTGGCCACCGTACTAGGAATACATTGATACAACAATTCATCAGTAACTTTCCTAATCTTTTCTAATTGCATCATACTCTTCTCCATTTGCTTAGCCTTGTGACGTTGCTTTGAAAACAAACAGTAATGAAACGAAGTTAATGCATCAGTTCAGCTCAGTTAATACATGAATAATATTTATATCTGAAAAAAATGTTGTCGATATATTTACTCGTGGTGATTTGCTATTCATACGATTAAAAAAACAGGACATTTGTGATAGGAGATGTTAGCTAGTTCGTGCCGCAGTTTCAGTTATTAAATGTTTAATTGGTAACTGTTACATTGCTGTTTGGATGTAGACACTATGTGGTGGTTGGAGGTAGTCAACAGGAAACCCTTAACCCGGGTTTCGTGCTACTTGGCACTCGTCAGCAAGGTGTACCTGTAATCTTGAGAGAACTGGTGTTCCCTGACGGATTCGACCCCGTGTCACCCAGCCCCACAGTCAGAGACGTTACCACTGGGGTATCCTGGCCGCGACGGCCTCTTGTAGGACTGAGATGTAATCACAATTGATTGATCACTGGGCGGTGATCAATGTCATGTATGTCAAGTCCTTCTTAGTGCACATCGAATGCTATCGAACACGTTGCAATGTGGCCACTAGTCTAGGTGACTCGACATTGCGTGAGATACCTTGCTGACTAGTGCCAAGTAGCACGAAACTCGGGTCCAGGGTTTCCTGTTAACTACCTCCAACCACCATCTAATCTCAACATAGTGCACGCAATGTCGAGTCACCCAGACTGGTGTCTACATTGTGACGTAATCAACGGCATTCGATCTGCACTAAGAAGGACTTGATACACGTGATAGTGATCACCATCAAGTGATCAATCAATTGTGAAGTAGACACTGCAATCTACCTCTTGATAATCTGGGTATTTAAATGAACGAAATTTATCAATATGAACACTCTTTCAAGGAAACTGTTTTGTTTCAGCCTAGAATTGGTGACAGAGTGAACATTCGTTTAAATAATCAAAGTCACTATTTCTGATTGTAAGTAAGCTAATAATTTTAAGGAATTTAAATATATCCTACAATAATTCATTGATTGTTGATTGTATCGTTGACATTGTTATGCTTCATATTATCATTCTGTTATAGACAGATATAACTGTAATTCACTTGGTATTGTTCTACTTGAATCTTCCCATTGATGTTTTAGGACTGAAATTGAACATCAATGGGAAGATTCAAGTAAAACAATACCAAGTGAATTAAACTTCACCCCATTGCACAAGCAAGTGGCTATCAGGACTCAGTAGCTAAGTGGATAACGCGATGGCGTTTGAAGCGAACGGTACTGAGTTTGAGTCTCAGAGTGAACATCAACTCTGAGATGCAGGTACATCCAGCTGACGAATCCCAAACAGGACGAAACGCGCGTCCTGGATTCCACTGCTAGCCTTTATCCATCTTTGCTTATCGATATAACTGTGTTTAAAGTCAGGTTACAAGTCCTCATTTTTTGTTAATCATTATAACCTGTTTCAAAGAAATGAATTAAAACATTAAATGAGGAGTACAAATCTTTGGTTTATTGACACAGAATTACCTAATGGGTGGTAAAATATCCGAACATTACTCAAACTACTGACAAATATCAAGTAGTAAAGTGAATTATAGAAGATAAGAAATGAGTGTGTTAGTTGGAAAATAGATCTAACACATGAAACTCA